TTATTGGATAATTGTTTATTGGAATGAAATAATAAAATAGAATGGATTAATTTGTGTGCAGGTCCTGCCTTTTGGGGTTTGATAAATCCAGAGTGGTCTCTATGTAATAAAGGGCGTAGACAGTCACCAGTGAATCTGGAGCCCCAAAGACTTTTGTATGACCGGAATCTTCAGCCCCTTCAGCTCGATAAACACCGAGTCTCCGGTGTCCTATCGAATACAGGCCACGGGGTTGTATTTGCAGTAAACTACAACGACACTCGACATCCGGTCAACATCACCGGTGGACCCCTGAGTTATCGATATCAATTTCACGAAATTCATTTGCACTACGGAATGAGGGACGACATTGGAAGTGAACACGCGGTGGACGGTTATAAATTTCCTGCCGAGGTAACTCCGGATTTTTGTCATTTTTCATGTCGATATTGTGATGTCAGTTGTGGTGATGTACGGCACATCGAATTTTTAATAGCCCAAATATTATTGGAGAGGCAAGATTCACTGAAAAATTTCTGCCAATCATTTATCATTACCGTGAGATTATTAATTATTTCAGTATTTTTAGTTATTTTAAAATATCAAGTGGAAATTTGATAATTCATCAGCAAAATTTTCGCCTTTGATCATTTTTATATTTTTATTATTTGATTATTTTTCATTTTTTATTTTTTTTCATGATCATGGAAGTGGTTTCGACGAGGAGATAAAATTCAAAGCAGAGATTCTTTTTTATTCCCATGACCCACAGCTGGCATCAATGAATAAATCCTCACGTTATAATTCACAAAATAATAATTCCAACAGATCCAAATATTTGGCTTCAATTCCGACCTGTACAATAACTTCTCAGACGCGGTGAACCGACCCCAGGGAATAGTGGCAGTGTCTCTTCTACTTCAAGTACGTGTCCAATCTCCATTTTAATCTTTCACGTGAGATCAAACGAGAAAGCTCTGGGCTACTAAAAATCTCGCGATAAGACACGAAAGATACACATTGAGAGATGAGAAGGGTGGAAAATGAAATCTCTAAATTTAATGGAATTATTTTTTTTTTTCTCTCCAACCAGGTTGGAGATCTCTCTAACTCTGCATTGAGATTCTTCACTGAACAACTCAACCATATCCAATACGCAGGTAAAATATTCAAGAAAATAAACATTATTCTATTGTTCACTCGTTGCTGTTCCACTAATGACCGATGTAATTGGAATTTAATGGTGAATTCATGGGTTATGAACGGATTGTCTAATTTGTCCAATTAATTGGAATCAGCCATTGAATTTTAATTGTTTCTGCATCAAATGTTGAAAAAATTCTCCTCATATCCTCCAATATCACTCTAACTATACAATATTATTAATTGCCATTATTCGTCATAATATTTTAATCATGAAAAATATTTGAAAAATCATAGAAAACAATTAATCCAAAATTTTTGTTGATCACGTACTTGGAGTGCGCCATTTTACTCGTAAAGTCTTCCACAAAATAGCTCATTCATTAAATTTCTGTAAATCTCACTTCCGGAGATGTATACTAAATTTTCTCAGCCCGTCTTTTTCCGTTGAACAATTTTTGGGGGATTATTTAGTGAATAGCTCCTGAAGTGGTGAATTCCGAGAAAATGTCGTACGATTCATCGGATAATCTGCAGAATCTCCGAGATTTCCTTTGATAATATCAACTCCTAGAAATTACCATGAATTCTTATCAAACTCGAAATCTTAGTTAACCACATAATTACTTAAAAAATGAGAAATGCCACTGAAAAAAGTCATTGAACTCCCTTAATATACCGTAAAATAAAATTCCCTCGACGTGACTTCTTATCGAATTGATGAAAAAATTAACGAAAAATCTTATCGAACGCGAAATCTTCGTCACTTACGTAATTATCTCGGAAATTACCAATTTCACTTTACAAAGTCATGCGATCTTTTTTATAGCCCGTAAAATTCCTCACAAAATCTCTCACTCTGATTTTTCAAATTTTCTCTGGTGCACGCTCTGGTGCAATAAAAAAAATATATCAAATTAAATCTTTTGTCCCCTTTTTTAAGACCTCTATGAGCGAACGTATTAAACGAACGGACAAAAGTGGCTTAATTTGAGACATCATTTTTATCAGAGTAACTATTACACTGAAAAAGACGGAAAATACGGACTAGGGAAAATTCCACTGTCACACACATATTTTCTATTGTTTTTCTCTAAACTTGGCAGATTGTTTATCCTTCGATGATTTTTCCTATTGTTTATAATATTTTTTTAACAACCACTCGAGTTATCTCGAATTTACCTAAAAATTTCAATTCATCAATTTAACGCGATAATTTTCCAGTGTTTTATCAAAAATTTTATGAATATTTAAAAAGTTAAAGTTTCGGGAGTCGTTAAATAATTATAAAATGTGAAAATGGTGTATTATTTCTCGTTAATCCGCTAAACGATTTGTCAGAGAACTGAGAAACGTGATTTTGAATGAAAGGTGTCAGAAGATCGTTAAATATGATACCGATATTACTCCGGACGCCCCTAATTATCCCATCAAGTACATCATCCACGAGATAATCAATCCGTTTTTCTGACATTACATTATGTGTAAAATTGCATAGGTAAGTCAACTGGAATTCAGAATTTTCCTGTGCTAGAACTACTACCCCGCACGAAGCATTACATGACGTACGAGGGCTCAACTACAATGCCAGCCTGTCACGAGACAACAACGTGGATTATTCTCAACAAACCAATATACATAACAAAACAGCAGGTGAGAATTACCAGTACTTAGTATCGACATTTAATCAGCTATTTATTTTTACCAACCACTTCCTCACTCAATTCAAAGGCGTCTCGAAAATAATGTTACTTCTCATGCCACGAAAAAGTCGTGTCACGAATAACATTAGAGGGAATTCCATGGCAATTACCTTGAGTGTTGTACAAGGGAGAGCTGACGACACGCAATCTCAATATTTTTACACTCAATCATTACTCATTTACATATTTCTCGGGTCTTTAACTCGCCCTTCGGACTTTTGTCACTCGATTTTTTGATTTTTACACTTTTTAGATTGAAGATTGTCAAACTGGGTCAATACTTCGGAGAAAGTTACCACTCGGGGAATATCGGGCAGAATGAAAAATCTGTAATCATAGTGATAATGTTTTTGGGTTTAGAATTAAATAATAATTGTTTTTACCTAGGCAGTTTATTGACGGCGAGAGAGCCCGTATATCTTCGGGTAAATATTTAACTTGGTAGAAGTAATTTTTCTTTGGGGTAGATATAAGTAAATACGCGGGAATTGAGATTAAAGTTTGCTTGTAATTACACAAAGTTGTGATTTAAGGCAATCGGAGGTGATTGAGGGGCTCAGAAAAATTTAGTTTTTGAATTTATTTATATTGAAATCTGTAAAGTATTGAACAATTAATTTAAAAAATGATTAATCTACTGAAAAATTATTGGTATAATTCATGTCGAGCTGCCTTGGATCACTGGACCAATTGAGAATCCAAAAATAAATTTAAAGGATTCCACAAAATTTTTTATCCAGATTAATAAATAAATCTGACTGCCACATATTTATTACTTGCTCTCAAAATCATTAATTGAGTTGATTCACACTTTTCACAGAAGATTTGGCAATTGAGGTGCATCCCAGCACACTTTAATATAAAAGTGAAACATTATAATTTGAATGTGCGTCGAAAAATATTTATTTACTTTCGTCTATATAGTTTCCGAGAAGTAATTGATTATTTTGATATTTAAAAAAATAACGGATTAAAAATAGTGTCAGAAAGTCTTGAGTAGATGTCTCATTAATTTCAGAAAATACCGGAGATAAGAAGATGATGCAAATTGCATGAACGGGGGGATCGATAATCAATGAGTTTAAAAAATAATTTTCGGGGAAATCAATAATCACTTTTTCGTAATGATGAAATTTTATTTGAAACTTGTTGATGAAATTGAAGTGAATGAGGAAAATTAGGAGAATTTATTATTTTTTTGTTCTGTGCTTCTTTTGGCGCGTATTTTTGGGGCTATTTTTATATTTAATTTTCAGCTCATCGGACTGAGAACACTAGTACAAGGTGAAGCTGAACATTCGAAAGGGCCTCTTGGTAATAATTACAGACCTACACAAAGCCTCCATCATCGCCCAGTGCGAACAAACATTAATTTTAACGTAGAGGTAAGCAATTCAATCAATCCATTATTTTCAAAAATTGTAGTGCCAAAAAACGATTTCCCCATGTACTCCCCTAATAACTATCCGGAAATAAATAGGTAGACATTAAAATTCCGGGATTTCCATTTCAATTTATGGGAAAAAAATTCCTGAAGAGCGAATTAGAGAATTGAGAGAGAAATTCGTAAGACATATCTTCATGATCACGAATTTAAAATCATAAAGTACTCCATTGGAGGAGAGTTTTGCCGAATGAAACGAGAGAGTAATTAAATTATAGAGCAGAGGAATAATGATGAAATGAGATCGCCAATTTAAATAGTTTTAATGAGTAAATGTGAATTTAAAACTATATAACAGCAATTAGATACAACAGGTTCTTCGCAATTCAAGGAACTGAATTTTGGTTTAATAAGGAACTTTATTACTTGTGGCCTAATTACGGTTTAATTATGTCCATCAAGATTTTCGATAGAGAAATACCTCAAATATAATAAGTGAAAAAATATTTTATTGCTATATTAATATTAATTTTGATCGAAATAAAATTTTTGAATCAAAAAACTTTAATTGATTTTTTCATACAATTTTGGAGTTTCAATTACGAAATCCCTTGGAGTGATAATAAAATATTCAATTAAATGTTATGTCCTATTAAATTATTTATTTAATTTTTCCAGGGCCCCCAGAAATGTCCGACCGCGTACCGGGATATCTACTATAAAGGTAAATGAGGCAATCGCGAGTTTCTGATGATTTAAACACCATGAATTTTCCACTGAATTATTTTCTAAAAATACATTGAAAAAGACACCTATCTTAAAAATCATTTTCAAGATAAAATAGCGAAAAAATTTGTCGGGAGGCATTAATTATTCAAACGCGTAATGAATCATGCATTTTAGATTGACATTTTACAAGAAGTACATTTGACTTCGAATATCTCCGAAATGGAGTGAGATATCGAAATTGCTGTCATAACCTTTTTCACAGCTTTTAATTAATCCCATAAAAAAGGTCTAACATCATTTTAATTCCTACCGTCAGTTTCGGAGGTATGACCCAATATTGTAACGGAGAATTGAGTCAGCTTATCGCACTTTACCGCTTCGTTAATCAATCATTTGGATAATTAATAATTTTATAAAAAATAGGAGAGGAAATGTGGTGGAGAGGAAAAACGTTTTTCTTACTATTTTCATTCAATTTTATTAATTTTATAAATGCGCCCACGATAAAAAATCAATAAGATAATTGAAAAAATTGAATTGAAAAGAAAAATCGTTGCTAATTAAGGAATTATCTCGGTAATGAGAAAACACAGTTCAACTTCGAGCTTCTATTTTGCAGAAGATGTCAAACTTCATTGAAGAATTAAAAATTAATTTCATATCTACTAGAAAATTCTATATGAGAGGTGCAACAATCTGTCATGTCCGATCGTTTAGAGTCTATGAATTATTGAATGAGCCAAATGGTTCGGTTATCACTGGTTATCAGTCATTGAATAAAATAGAGTCCATTATAAAATTACATGAACAATACAATAATCTTCCTAATTACTGATTTCAGAAGAAATTACCGATGAAAACTTGCGGTAGAAAATCCAATTCCCAAAAATTAAAAGTCTGCAAATAACTTTTCCAAACTCCTCCATTTTTTCGGTTGTAATGAAATAGAAAATTATTTTGCGCGTTCAGTAATTCATTTAGAAATTAAATTATCAAATTTATATGTGATGGGAACATTTGGGGGAATTGTTTGTGGTAATCTCGATTTCTGGTAACAAATATCGATTGATTCCGGGGGAAACGAAGAGCTTTGATAGATGTCCTCAATATTTATCCGTGAACTTTCTCAAAGTTTAACAGCACTCTGGAATATCTACTAGAAAAGTGATATTTGGGGATTTATGAATTATTGAATGAGGTAAACGTCTCGGTTATGACGCTTCAAAGATATTTTCACGATCTAAAACTTTTTTTTTTTCAGAATCATTTAAAATGCTCGGAAACTTCTTCTAAACCACTAAAAAATGGAAATAACAAGATTTTTGTTGAACTTTTACGGAATAAATTGCCATTCCCGAATGTCAGAACACTAATTTCAGTTTAGTGAATATCTGATAATAATTTGAACTCTTTTTATTAATTTTTCTAGTGGATTTCATCTGATACTTTTTACTGAGATTTTATTATTTTTTTTCTTATTGAAATATCTGTTGGAGAGGAGAATTTTGAAAATTCGGATCGTTCATGGATTTTCGATTGATGATATAATTCGGGGAACATATTAAGAATCGAGTGGCAAAGGGTCAGATTTAAATTATCTAATTATCCGGTCATGAGTGCATCCCAGCGAAATCATCAAACGTTTATAGAATTCTCTGACATTTTTTTTTACACTTCTGATTAAATTTTTTAATTATATTCAGATTGTGATTCAAAATGATTTCAAATTCTTTCTGTATTTTGCAAGAGATAATGAAAAAGTATTGAAATTCTTTACCGTGCGGAATTCCAGTGTCAATAATTTTTTTTTCATATCCGATAATGAATATTTTCAGTCTACGAGACGTAGGAGAAGATTTAATGGAAAAACGTCGCGCACCGCGACATTCTATTGCTTAATACTATTTTTAATTAACAATGTTTATAGACTGGATTTTTTCCAGAAAAAATGAGGCCAAAAAAATTATAAAAAAAAATTTCCCTTGAATTACCCCTCGCCCGAAAAATCTTTCGAAAAAATTTTCGAATCATTACTAATTTCTGTTAAATTACTTGTAATTTCTGAGAAACCGTGTAAATAGTAGAACCAATGTCTGCGGTAATTTAACCAAAAATCACTGATTACCGAGATAATTCCCCAGTTGTTAAGTCTTTCCTTGAAAAATTCAATTTCCAGCCGCACCCCAGGCACCCAGGTGCATTTACCCACCCCCTCACCCTTGGGTAGCAAACACTGACTTATTGAATCCCACAATTTCCAGCAAACAGTTGGGAATAGCCTGGCTGAACCACGAAATCTGCTTTCTCCATTCGAACTCCGCAGTACTACGCTTTTCCACGATGGGATTTGGAACATTGCTGTATAAAAAAAAAACCCCTTGACATATCAATGCGCGTGACAAACACGTGGTGCAAAACTACCGCCAAAAGTGGAATAAAAAGTTGAACAAGAAAGAAAAAAAAAACTAATTAAAGAAGGTAAGATTAAAAAATGATGTTAAAAGAAAGAAAAAAAAAAATCGCGCCACCGTAAGGTCAAAACTGCTTCGTTGTAAAACTCATTAGACGTGAATTGCCAAGTATGTTTTCAGTAAAGAAACAAACCAACAAGATGATGAAGATAAACAATTATAATTAATAACAATGAGAAAAGCAAAACACAGAAACACATACACCATAAACTATAGTTACTCATAGTTAAGGACTAAAAATGAAAACTTATGGTAAGAGTATATTATACAATTATATCGGATAAACTCATGAAAGCTATGACTATCGTGGCCTGTATGGGTGAGATTGCGACTTATGTATAAAAATTTAACAAAATGTGAGGAAATGAAAATTTTAAGAAGGAAACAAAATAATCCACACATTACACGTACGCGCGTGTGCATATATCATTATCAATTGCAAAGTTTATACTATATTCTTGTAATAAAAATGTGAAAAATATAACTGCCACTGTCATTTTATCCTTATTCTTTCATGTTGAATTTTATGCTCAGGGCATTATCGGCTCGAGTTTTTATTTTTTACTTTCATAAACTTCATTTTTCATTCAAGTGCTGTTATTATTTTAATTCTAGGGATTATATTCAACTTTTCGGTTTGAAGCGAAAAACTAGAGTATTAAATTCTCAAAATTACAGATTCAATTATTTTTTAAGCCAAATTTGGAGCGACAATTTTTTCGCACAACAATTATTCATGAATGATAATATTTTAGGATAAATAATTGACATTATTTACTGGATAATTGAGAGAAGTGAAGTTTTGGGGTACAGGAAATTATTTTTCTAATATTTTTGTAGAGTAATAGTTTTTACAGTCTAATGATGCCATTCGCCAGATTATTGGGAAAAAATTCAAAGAATAATTGAAGTACTCAATTAAGCGGGTGAGTATCCAGTCTAATGAGTTTCCGGTGGGGGAAATAAAAATATTCCGGGGTTATTCATGAATTCAGATACGAGAGAGCATTCGACTTGGGGAATTTGCCTGTTGCATTAATCGAAATCCCCCAGAAATCATTCTGGCAAGTGGAGGGGGAACTCTCGTGTCTTAACATGTACTTGATTCTTGTTATTCGGAATTTTTTATGAGAAAAGAGTGGGAGGTATATAGGGGGAGGGAGTATTACTCCCATTGGGGTCGATCACCTTTGAACGATCGATCTGAATTTTCGATACCACTGCGTCAAATTCATTTCCCTCGGCAATTCATTTTCTGGGATTTTAACTAATTTTATTTTCGTCGTTCGATGTGAGAACACCGAAAGCCATTTTAACGGTTCAAATCTTCAAAAATTCAGAAAAAATCCAGGATTTAATTAATTTTTCGTGGATTCAGAGCAATCGCCGGATGAAAATCGAACTCCAATTTCAAGAATTACTTCATGTAAATCCAATAATTGAAACTCTGGATTATAAAAAATTAACTGCAACAGACATAAAAATTTAATGTACATCTTGAAAGCTCCAGAGAGAAGAGAAATTTCTTAACGTCACGAGAGAAGTTTGAAAGTTGAAGAAAACTATTTTTCTGCAGATCTCACGATTCCACGACTGGGAATTGATATCGTCCAGAGAAACTCGCGAACTTGAAAATCACTAGGGAAAAATATTGCTCGGACTACTGCGATGATTTCCTTGCGAGTATTAAATTTAAAAAATTATTCACATAGCAAAAAGCAGCTGGAAGTTTATTTGCACAAAAATAAAAATATCCGATTCAATGAGCAATAATTATATTATATTAATCCCAGAGCTCTACCATTTTTTATAGAAATTATGGAATAAATTGTTACGAATATCAATTTTCGATGCGTCCTAATATCTTGCCTTTCTTTTATTCTCTTCGGTTTCCCTAAATCCCTCCTCTGGAGTTATCCCCTTTCAATATTTCGTTACTCCGATTCTCTCCGGCTTCGGTAATCCTCTCATTTTCTTTTCCGTTCCCTTTTAATTTAATAAAGTCATCTAATTTATTCCAGGAGCGTTCTGACATTCAATAAATCCCTCAGTCGCTTTTTTCCTAAAAAAGAAAATGGGCAAAATCAATGAGATCAATACTCCACAAAAAGATAGAACCTCCATTTTTTTTATTTTCCTACCTTTTTTATTTAAATTCCGGCTGAATATTTTTCATAAAATAAACTCACGAAGAAGTCCCTCCACTCGCCACTCCTTCCAATTTCATGAACGCATTCCGAAATTGAAAATGATTATTAAACCCTTCGAATCCCCGACAGAAACCTCGACTCACCCATTCAGAATCAATCCCAATTAATTTTCTCATTAAAGAAATTCCCAAATTCCCTCCACTCGCGCAATCACGAAATTACCACGACATGACAAAGCAACAACCCTCAAAAAAATTTCTCCCAAATACCCCGAAAACAATTACAATTCCCATATAAACCCTCAAAAATTGTCAATTAATTATTTATTCATTCAACCAAATAACATTGAACTCAATTTATTAATTACATACTTTCATTACAAAATGACGAATGCAATTTATCGAATATTATTTCTAGCATGTGCCCCTATAAAGTTCCAACCAAAATTTCCTGTCCCATAATATTCCTTTCCCCTCTTCCCGAGACGGTCCCCTCCAATACCCGATATTACAACAAATCGTCAGGGCGAATGTCCCATAAAAATTCCCCTAAAACATCCCCCCATTCCATAACCGAAAATCCCAGTACAGTATCCTGACACCATCCCGAAGTACCAAAATAGCCCATCCCGAAAATTTTCCGAACCCGGAGCCCCTGCCGATGACTCCCCTCCGAGACTCCGGAGGAACTCTGAATTGAACATCACATATTTCCTCCAAAAAGGCTAATCCCACTACAAACTTTATTTTACGATGATTTCATGGGAGAAGACATATAAAAATTCAACCACCCCCCTCCACCATCGACCACCCACCCACCCAATCATTCAGATAGGGAGAAGAAGTGGGGGAAATCCCGCACTCTCTGAGGGATGAATTTAATCGAACGGTTGAGAAATGACGAGTGCTGCCACAACGGCACTCCACCAAACGACAAATTCCCTTCCTCCTGAGGGTGGTAAAGAGAGAGGGGGAGAGGGATTCTCATGTTGCTCCAGGTCTCCCTCCTCGGGGTAAAAAAGAGAGGGAAATAGTGTAGAGGTAAGCCAGTGGTTTTGGTTGCCTCGACTACTCGCTGCGGCAAAATCTGCAGCCCCAGCGCTGTCACGTTTTCCTCCTTTGTCTCACCAGAGTTTAACATCAATTTTCAAAACATCTACCCGGTATTTAGTTTATCAATTGATAGTGATAGTTTGGCGATAGTTTGGACAATTTTTTGGGGTTTGTTGTGGCATTTTGTGGAGGGAAATAGTGATATTGAGTGGAGAAATATGGGGCGCTGCACCCGGCCTGGATTAGGGTGTCAGTCGCGCGTCCTCCGATCAATTTGTTCCACAGACGAGAGCAATTATTCGTATTAATATTATTAATCAATCTTTTCAGTCGTACCTTAATTTTGCATTCGTCCAAAATGGAGGCGGGTGGATGGGATTTTGTAGTTGTATCCACGGGTTTTTGGGGGAATTGTCGATATTTTGGGGGGTGAGGGGTTGGAGGGGCTTTTTTTTTCTGATTATCACGAGGTGAGACAAAGACCTGAGGTCTCAGTTGAGAGTGATTGGACTGTGGATATGGTTGATTGATCGGCCTTTCGTTATTGGTGTTTTGATGGCTGAATGGAGATGGACACTTGTGCGACGTTCCAGGAGTCGGGGCAATGGGAATTTTTTTCACGGTGAGGAAACAAATCACTTGACATCGTTTTAACGTCAGTCATCGGATTTTCTAGTGGTGAATGTGCAATGCTGATAGAATCTAGTTATGGAGTACCTATAAACCACCCACCCACACGACAACGACACAGTGTCCTACCGTCAGTACCAGATTTCATGTGAAATCGATAGCGGGGCCCAATGTCGAACAATTTTTTTCAACCTAAATTCAAGATAATTATCGAACAACTCATTTGCCAATATATTACGAATAAATATTACTTGGAAAATAATCGATAATTAATTATTAGAAGTGACGAATATTATCTGGAAAAATATTGCATTGAAATATCACAGGAAATGAAATTTCAAATTTATTGCAAAACAAAATGGAATACCTCACTATATTTTCCAATTTTTTTTATCATTTGATTTTTATGGATCATTAGTCATTGTTATCTGCTATTGTTTATAATTGATATTGTTTAGTGAGTACTGTGTGCGAAGAAATCGATGAATGTGATGAATTGTTTTGAAAAAAAAAATCAAGTGAATTGCAATTTTTTAATATTCATTAAACAATTGGAGTTTTTTTGTATTGGTTGATGAGATCATAACGAATATTTGATTCGGAAATATTTGAATTATTCATATTTCAGTTGGCAAGACGTTTTTCTATATTTCATCGAAATTATACTTCAATTTATTCTGAGAGAAATAATTTTTTATACTAAATTAATAATCGGAAATAAACGAGTAAGAGTCTTTACATTTTATATTATAGATAATTAGTTTATGCACTTGGTCCGAGTAATTGTTCCTCAGTATAGTACATTCCATTCATACTTTAAATATAATTATTCCAAATTTAGAATATATATTTATTAATTTCCGTCTTCCATAAAATATTGTAGATTGAATTTTTTTGTGTGAAAGAGGAATTTTTCTGGTGAGAAATTTTTTCTGGTAATTAACCGTAATTTAAATAAATAAATGGACTTCCTCGCGATTTTCATTATTTACTCGATCAATTAAATATTTGAAATAGTTTTTGATTATGGGAATAATCAAATATTTAATATTTCAGAAGCAAATTTCTATTTCCGATAGATTGATCGCAAATGGCGAAAACTGAGTTCACGTCGTGAATATTGACTTCTAATACGAAAACTTGAAACTCCCCCTGGAAGTTCCGAAACTTCTCAAAACGAAAGCTCATTTCGCGCCCATTACTCATGAGCAATGCTAAAGTCCTTGAAAATTGACAAGTACTCACCGATAGTTCCAAACCCCAAAGAATGTGACAAATTGTCGCACCTCCGCAAACTTTTTCAAAAATTTCCAAGCCTCTACCAAAAATCATAAAAAAAACGTAAGAATCCGAAAAATTCTTAACCCACCGAATAATCATAATAATTAAACTCCGGAGTCATTGGATTTCCAGAGAATTCATAAAAACCATAAAAAAGGGGAAATATGTGGTTTAATTAATCAATCGCTCGATGCAACCGCGGAATTCTAATCATGTCGCCGCGATTTCTCCATGGGAAATGGTAAGACCATTCTTAGAATTCGTAGAAGATTTTTGAATGGTGCACTCTGGTGATCGATGTGCCAGGGGCTGGTGCTGGAGTCCTCTCTTTGTCGTACTTCGAGTGACAGACACCACTCCAGCATTCAGATTTGTGTGGCGATTAGCTCTTTGAAACAACGACACCCTCTCCGCAGTGCGATGCCCTCTCTTCTTCTTTTTTTATCCTCCACTTATCACCACCCTTTCTTATACCCCACACCAGTGACACGAGGATGTTGCTACCCGAGTCATCATATTTCTCTCGAGGAGGTCTCGTCGGAGGGGCCACCGCATCAAATTAGTGGGGCTGCTTGTTACTATGTCATTTATTTTATTCTACTTTCCCCTCGTCATCATTTTTTATTTCACCTAACTGGACAGTTCAACAATGAATTGAATGAATGAATGAATGAATGAATGAATGAATGAATAGTAATCGTAAATTGAGAGATTACCCGGGTAAAAAAATGTAATCGAAATATTTTTTCCAAATGTTCAAAAAATTTCTGGAAAACTTTTCAGAAAATGTTTTTTATATAACAGAAAAAAAAATGGAAAACAAAACAATTTTATTTGTGGGAAGGGTTTTGAAAAATTCTTCAAAAATTTAAATAGAATTTTTTTTTTATAATTTAGATGGCGTATTTTTTGAGAATATTGAAAAATTTAAAAAGTAAGAAAACAACAGTGTAATTAAAAAGAAATTATATTCGCAAAAATTTATAGAAAATTATAAAGTAAATTTTCCGTAACAAATTTGTGAAAAATTTTTCAAAACATTTTTTTCCTGATGCTTTTTTTTGCTTCGAAAAAGAAATTTCTAAAAAGTTTTCTAGAAATTTTTCGAAAATTCGGAAATAATATTCCCATTACAATTTTTTTTTACCCGGGTATATAGTAGAATTATATTTTTTCGTTTCCTCGGAGAATCGAATAATTGAATGAAGGGAATTTAATTACAACAAATATTGTTCACCGAATTCTAGATATTTATTGATTGTTGATTTGTTGATTTTTTTAGTTCAGTTCTATTTTTTATATATATATATTTTGAAGAACGAATTTTGTACTGATTTTGGATTTTTTAAGAATAGAAAATTCACTTGAAAATAAATTTTTTAAAATATTCATACGTCATATAATTGTTCGTTGTAGTTATCTATCAGTTGTTTACTCTTCTCGATGTAAATCAGTTTGCACTAGTTGTATATTTCGATTCATGTAGTTAATGAAAGTTTTCCTCATAATGCAATTCTCGCATGTATTTTTTGTTTCTTTCCAATTAAAAAGTTGAGAAATTTTACCAGCTGCTTCATACATTGCGGCATAATATTATTCCAGTTATCGTAAATGAAAACTTTTTAATGTGAGAAAAACCGAGTGAATACTTTGATTATCATTTCTGGTTTATTTCCAGATTGACAGCTCATGCGCGAGGACAAAGAGGGAATTAATAAAATGGTTGGAGATGTGAAATGTGGAATTCCAGTGGATAAAGTTGAATTTTTTCTTTGATCAACTCTGATAATGATGAGATTGAGGATGGTACAATGAAAGCACGGATTAAACCACGAGTATTCGTTGATGAGGGTCTGACAGACAGAGAGAAGACTGTGGCATTCATCAAAAGCACTGGGCACTATTAAAGTACGTTGACATTCTCATTCAATAATAACTCTAAAAATATTAATTACTCCGACATCGACATGAATATTTCACTAGACCGGAGTTTATTCTTAGATCTCTACTTTAGTCTAGATTATTCAACAGTTCAATAACATATTTCATTCTCATTAAGACCTTCAAGATAAAAAAGAATAAATTATTCAATTCAATTCAAAAATTAAGTAATATTCAAATGATAA